CAATCTCAATCTATGATTAATTTTCGAATAGTAACTGAAAATTTTCAAAATATCCAAAAGGAAAAACACCTGAGGGAAAGAGTTACCAAGAAGAAGACGGATAAAAATGAAGTAACAGTCTTGATGTGATGCAAAATGGTACAAGACAACAAAAACTCGGGTTTAACAACAAAACTGAACTAGTCGAATCCTCATAGTTTGTCTACATTTTAGGGGCCTTTTTCTTTGGCGATCTCCTTGGCATTGAGTTCTTCATGACAATGAAAAACAGCAGTGCCCCAAGTAATGCTAGACTCTGGCTGAATTTGATAAATAGTAGGGAAAACTCTTTCTGGCCAGCATCGTAGTTGTAGAAGTCATACAAGATGGGTACTGCAATTAACTAGTGCAGGAACTATGCAGGAGGCAAGAGAGAAGAACTTCGTTACAAAGGTCCATTTAACAAAACAGTAAAGAAAGAAAACTGGGATTTACGGCATGCTCGACTAAACTTTTAAAGAGTAAGATGTTGCAATGAAATGTCAAAAGAACATTTGATGTGATTTGAGAAACAGATACTTTTGACTGAACAAAACAAACCCTAAACATACTAGGATGCCAGCTCCAAGCGAGCTTCCAAAGATGAACAACAGCCCCTTCATTATGATGGCACCTAAAATCAAGTGTTTCATCTGAGATCAAGAAATATTCAAGTTACTAAAATTGTATCTTCCAGGACATGATACAACAACTAAATTGACTTCCTACGTAAAATTAAGCAAAACTAAGAAAATGATTACTTACTTCAACATATGGTAGCTCTAATCCAGTGTGGGTTTTGACATGCTTTGAGAAAACATTGAACTTTGGCCTTAAAGACTTTACCACTGGCCCACCATCAACACCAAATTCATCGAACCTGGCAATGGAAACATACAGATCAAAATGGAAGTACACAAAATGTGCTTAGCATTCCACATGGATGTTATGACCGAACATAGATCCAGGGGTCCAGATGCAAAACCTTCTTCGTGTGTCATTTACAAATAAAATAAGAAATCGCCACAAAAGGTAACTAGTCAACTGAAACAAAAGGTAACTAGTCATCTTAGAGGATCTCAACCAACTTCATGTTGATAGGGATCCCAGCAATATTTATCATTATGTTTTCGAGCTTCTTATCATTAACTATACTGGCACTTATGGAATCCCTTGTGTATAACAAGTGACAATACTTATTCATATTAACAAGCAGATTCAGCATCGAACTGAAAAGTTCCATTACAAATTTTTGGACAGATATCTCTCTTAAAAATCATAACAACAAAATATTCAAAAAGCAGGACCAGAGAACAATCTTTTCGCACAAAATGATCTGAATATATAAAATCTATCATTAGATAAGGAAAGAAAGAGAATCCCAAGAATGAGCTAGCACATAAAAAACATAATAGAAAGAAATTGTAGGTGTTATTAGAAATTTAAGCAATCCTTCCAACTGCTTTATTCTCTTGCTTTACTTTTTCCTATCGCCTCAATAACACAATCTTCTTTACCTTTCATTTTCACTAAACTAAATTTTGGTATATTTATTATCAAAACAAACTAACCTTGTCCAGTACCAATAAACTATAGGAAAAACAATCAAAGCACACAGAATTACCGCCCCCACCCAGCTCACCACATCCACTACCCAATGCCCCTGCAAGTTTACCACCATCTCCATCAATTAAGCCACCGATAAATTCACCTCCACCTTCTGCGAATTCACCATCCCCACAATTATCCAACCTGCCTCAATAGTAAAAGCAAAACTTTGTGATTAGAGTATCGTGAATCAAATTATTTTACACCCAACAATTTAAAAAATCAGATGCGAAATCTGACCCAACAAAAATAATTTCGAACAGCAAGCATAGACTGCAAAGAATATAGCAAGAACCAGATGGAAACCTGATAAAAAACGCCGTAAAAACCTTTCGATTTGGCAGGGAGAGCTGTAAGCAATTTTCGACTTTCGGTTTCTGAGAGAGGGAAGGATTATCGGAAGATAGGGGAATGAGGAAGAGGGGGGAATGAGAGAAGAGAGGAATTCATTTCCCGTGTTTTGTTGTTTTGGCTACAAAAACGAAGTTAAAAGAGTTTTCGTGCAAAACCACGTTTTGCGTTTTCAGTGTTAATTTTTTTTCCATTTCCAAAAACGTGTTTTCAAAAATAGGAAAGAGAACGCGTTTTCACTATTTTTGAAAATCGAAAACAGAAAACGGTAAAGAGAACATGACCTAAATGATTTTACTATGTCGAATGGAAAAAAAAAACTTTTGATTAGTGCTACGCTTGTGTTTAAACCAATTTTTCTATGTTCTAGACTTCCAGTGAAATTTACAAGTATTGATTTGGAATTTAGATTAGGAAACTATCTTTCCAGAGTTTTGTTCGAGAAATTGCCCATGACTTAGAGATTGTTTGGGAATGATTAAAATTCAATTAAAATTGAAAATATAGTCGTTATTGGGTCTCAGTCTAATAAAAGTCAACTCCAACGTCCTGATTGTGTACGGAAAATCGTCATGAGTTAAATCGTCATGAGTTCTTGTTGTTTGATGATGTGAAATATATTCTGAAGTGAAATTAATCATGGCTCCTTGCCAAACAAATGTGCGATAATAATCATGATGATAATATAAATACTTATTATTTCAAAAGTGTTATCACTAATTCAATGCATCAAAATAGTCCCACAAAAGGAATAATAAATGAAAATATTTTCTAAAGTTGTGAAAGTAAAAATACAGATGGTTGCGAGTTACAATTTTTTTTTTTTTGGCACACGATTGTGCCTTTTTAACGTTTTCTAATGTTTTTTTTTAATCCTTTGATCTTCACTCTTAGCTACGTTTAGAGGTGTCAAGACGGACGGACCGGCCATGACCCGTGAAAACCGGGACCGCGGGCTGACCCGTGACCCGTGCGGGCGTTCACGGGCCAAGGAGGTGTAACCCGCGGGCTTCGCGGGTTGCACCCACACAG